TAAGGGATTTGATTTAGGTCATACCTGAATGGTCTAGTGGTTTTCCCTACTTTCTTCAATTTAAGTCTGAATTTGGCAATAAGGAGTTCATGATCTGAGCCACAGTCAGCTCCCAGTCTTGTTTTTGCTGACTGTATAGAGTTTCTCCATCTTTGGCTGCAAAGAATATAATCAATCTGATTTTGCAGTACTTGGGTGCAATCTCAAAGATGACAGAATGATCTCTGTTCATTTCCAAGGCAAATCATTCAATATCAAGGTAATCCAAGTCTATGTATGTCCTGACCAGTAATGCTGAAGAAGCTGAAGTTGAATGGTTCTATGAAGACCTACAAGGCCTTTTAGAACTATCACCCAAAAAAGATGTCCTTTTCATTACAGGGGACTGGAATGCAAAAGCAGGAAGTCAAGGAACACCTGGCATAACGGGCAAATTTGGCTTTGGGGTACAGAATGAAGCAGGGCAAAGGCTAATAAAGTTTTGCCAAGAGAATGAGCTGGCCATAGCAAACACCCACACAGATTAGGAAGTGAGAAAGCAAGCTGTGTTGGGGAAGGGGAACCTGGAAGTGTGGGCTGGGTGCTGCATTCAGAGAAGAGAGGGAGACTCACTTTGTAGTTTATCTCTACAGCTGATCCCCAAACTTATTTCCCCTTCTTCCTGGGCACACAACCCTGTTTCCTCCCCTTGAGGAGGACAAGGCAACCCACTCCAGTGCTCTTGCCTGGTGAATCTCCATGGACAGAGGAGCCTGGTGGGCTACAGTCCATGGGGTCGCAAGGGTTTGGACAAGCCTGAGAAACTAAGCACATAGCACAGCCTGTTTCCTAGCCTCCTTTATGTGGTGGAATGGCCACATGACTGACTTCTAGACAATGAAACAGGCTTAACCCAGAAAAGCCTGTTTATTTTTAAATTTTTATCTTTTAATGTTTATTTATTTGTTTGGCTGTGCTGTGTCTTAGTTGGGGCATGCAGGATTTTTGATTTTTGTTGCAGCATTCAGAATCTTTAGTTGCCACCCTCTGGGATCTAGTTCCTTGACTAGGATTCCTGGTTTCTATCCAGGCTCCCCAGGTTCAATTCCTGAGCAGGGAACTGAGATCCTTCTACAGCATCACTCACTGTGTCTCCTAGATGAATCCTTCTCTTCCAAACCCCTCACCACTGGCTCTAAGGCCCTTCCAGCCCTTGCCCTGCCCACTTCTCTCACCTCACCTCTCAGCTCACTCCGCCTTGTTCCCTGGCCTCCAGTCTTTACTGCAGCATAAGTCAGGTGGCCCAATCGTACGGCCCTGTCCTTCTCCCCACTCCCCCGGCCACACTTCCTTAGTCACACGACCTTTACAATTGAGGTCTCGGGGTCAATTCCTGACCACGGGCGCCCTCCGCCCCAAGTCTCTCTTCACCTTTCCTTCATTTCCTTCACATCCCTTCTCACTATCTGAAATGATCTCGTGTTTGGTTTAAGGTTGGTCTCTCCCACTAGAGCGGAGGTCCCCAACCTCTGGGCCACCGACTGGTACCTCCGGGCAGATCAGCGGGGGCATTAGACTGGAAATAAAATACACGATAAATGCAACGGGCTTGAATCATTCTGAAACCATCCGCCACCCGCTTCCACAAAACTGGTGCCCGGTGCCCAAAGGTTGGGGAGTAACGCCCTAGAGTGTAAGCCCCCGGAAGTCAGGGCCAGGGGCGCTCCAGTTCAGGCCTGTATACATTAGGGGTTCAGTCAACGTGCGCTGAATTCGGGAGAACCTCTTATTCTACACCCGAGGCGCGCCCCGCATGGGGCAGTGCGAGGCCCCGCGGAAGGTCAGCCCCAGGTTCACTCCTGCCCCCTCCGCGTTGGAGACGAGCTGCCGAGGGGCTGCTCCGCCCCGGGCGTCGGGGAGGCGCGGGTACGCCCCGGGGCCCCGCCCCACGGCTGCCCATTGGCGGCCGCGCCGGGGGCGGGGAGAGGCAGCCCCGCCCGGCGACGCGCCCCGCAGGCAGTCGGCCTCCTGGCGCTCACTCAAGCCCCGGCGTCCCAGCTCCAGCCTCGGCATCCCAGCCCCAGCCTCGGCATGTTGCGCGCCGTTGCGCTTGCCGCCGCCCGCCTCGGACCCCGCCAGGGCCGCCGCCTGCTGTCTGCCGCCGCCACCCAGGCCGTGCCGACCCCCAACCAGCAGCCTGAGGTCTTCTACAACCAGGTGAGGCCGCCCGCGTGCTTTGTTCTCTGCCGGGAGGGAAGGGACTGGATCTCTTCGGGCCTCAGTTTACCCCGTTGGGTCTCCACGGGTTTGCTCGCAGCTGCTCTTTCCACACAACTTCCTTTCCCTCCCCGCGAGCAGTTTGGCCCCTTAACCGCCTCGGATACCTCGGCTCTACGATCCAGCTGTTGACTGTGGCCGCTTCCTTGTGTCGTCTGGCCGCTGCGGGTTTTCTGGGCTCCATTCTCCACTCCCCTTCCCCAGTCGTCCTCGGCTCTCGGGTCTCTTAGTCGTCCCTGTGCCTCCGCAGAGTCATCCGGACATCACTCATCCCGAGGACATGTCCATTTAAGACCCTCTTTGCAGGAGCCGTTTTGTCTTTTCGTCATCTCTTTTATGCCTTGACTCATGCCCTCGACCAAATGGAAAAAAGGGGTCCTTTTCAACTAAAGGTCACCAGTTCCCCAATGGAGAGGCCAAGGCCACGGCCATGGCCACTTGACGTCCTGGCCGCTTCCACTGCTGGGAATTGGAAAAGGGCAGGGACCTTTGCCACCTCAGTGCCATCCCGGGGTGGTGTCTGCACCTTCCAAGGTTCTTTCTTTGATCAAAGCAAGGATTTTCCAGTATAACCTCGATTCCCAGTGGCTGATTTTCTTGGTCAACCAGGACTTTGGCACATTTTCTCTCTTGACCTTTTGAGTTTGGGCAGAGTGCTGGAGAATTCACCGAGGAGACTGGTTATGAAAGAGTTCGTTTTGTTTGTACAACAAGTGTGGCTGCTGCCCTTCTCCGAGCTTCCCCTCCTTCTGTAGCCTGGGGAGGGGCCGGAGAACGAGCACAGGGGCTCATACACCGCACGGGCACTTGCAGAAGTCACAGCTCTGTTCTCTGTGCACCTCCTTCGCGCCAGTCTAAGCATTTACCTGATTTTCCATTTAATCCTTAAGCAGCCCGGTGAGGTAGCTTCTGGGGTTATCTCCATTTTACAGATGAAAAAACTGAGTTTTCAAAGAGATGCAGTAAGTTACCCAAAGACTCAAATCAGTGGTCAGGCCGGGGTTCACATCTGGGCTCCCAAGTGTAAGCCGATAACCAGAAACTTCTGTGGTATTTTTGTTGCAACTCTAGGTGGGAATATAGGGGTCACTGCTGGCCTAGGATGCTGGGGAACCTGCTTCTGGCTGGCTGCTCTCAACAGGGGACTTGATTGTCTGGTCTGGAGCTTCGCTGCAGATCTACACCCCGGCAGTGGGTAAGGGCGCATCTGTGTGATTTAAAGGGTGGTGTTGTTGTTTAGTCACTAAGTTGTGTCCGACTCTTGCGACCCCAAGGACTGTAGCCCCGCCAGGTTCCTCTGTCCATGGGATTTCCCAGGCAAGAATACTGGAGTGGGTTGCCATTTCCTTTTCTGGGGGATCTTCCCCACCCAGGTATTGAACCCTCTTCTCCTGCACTGGCAGGCGGATTCTTTACCACTGAGCCACCGGGGAAGCCCCTTAAAGTGTGTTACAAATCGTTATTAGCAAGGAAATAAAAACAAAGGATAAAATAAGATGCCTTTTGCATAACACGAGCCAAAAAGGCAGCAACTGCTGCTTCCTCGTTAGGTGCATAAGGAGGAAGGAGTTCATGCTTGAAAGACTTGCACATCACGCAGAAATCTCAACGGAAAGATATCAGCAGCCCAAGCTTTTGTGGCCACAGGTTCCAATGAGGATCCTCCTCCTTTGCGCTCCCGTGGAGGCGAGGGAACAGGGTCCCAATGTGCGTGAGTGTAGCTGTGGTAGGTAGCACAGGTCCTGGATCTAGAATTCTCTCTAGATTTAGTTTGTAATGCTGAGTGAAATCTTTCTGCAGCTGCTTTTATCACACTTCTTTGAGATCATAAAAGTGACCATTGCTCACTGTTTACAAATGCAGAAGTAAAACTTCTAGCATATTCCATTGCACTCCCTCCAAGAACAATGTCAGCTGGTAAGTTTGTGGGTGCGCATGCACACGCGCGTGTAAAAGAGCATTGCGCAAGTGAGCTTGCACCAGGTGGGTTGTTTTCTTTTTTTTCCTATTTAAATGAGACCCTTGCACTTGCTCTTCTGAAGCTGTCTCATTAGACAATGTATCTCGGTTATCTTCCTAAATCAGTAGATACCAATCTTACTTTTCTCAAGGTTGTAAAGCAGTTCACATGAGGATGACATTCTGCTGTACAGGCACATTTTAAAGCTCCTTGGGTGGTTTTCAGTGTTGAGTTCTTATCATCCCTGTTGGCAAGAATGCCATGGTCTAATCCTAATATTTTAAGTTTCTTACCAGGGATTCTAGGTACAAACTAGATCATATGCTCCAACATTTCCCTGGGGATTATTGACTCGTTGATGTTCAGTGAACTCTTCTGGATCCTGGAGCTTGCCCCAAGGGAGCTGTGACCTAGGCTTTGAAGTTGCTTCTGTAGGCGCTGGATTTTCTCACACAAGGACTTGGTGGTGGTGACTGGGGGTGCGGAATGCTGCATTTCAAGCTTGTTGGGTCTCTCCTTGAAGAGGGGTGGCATAGGCAATAGATCTTTTTCCTCCCACTTCTATTTATTAACTAAAAGAGGTACAGCGGGGTGCTTTGGTCAACTTTCTTGGGGTCCTCTTGCCTCAACTTGTCCCGGATGGATTCCTATTACCACTGCTAACAGGTGATATATACAGAATAGGAGTTTTGAATTATCTTGTTTTCCTTGCAGAGTCTTAAGGAATGAACCAAAACTTCTGTTGGGCTTGGCTGTGGTTTGGAGTTGGCTGCAGCCTGAATGAGTCAAGTGAAATATCCCCAGGCTGATCGCACTGCTTTTACTGCGTGTTAAGGAATTTCGAGAGCCTCTGTAGAAACAATAGATTCGAGCAACCCAGGGAATCGGAGGATTTCACTGGCCCCACCTTGGTTTTTTTGTTTCTATTATAAAGAAACCGAAATGCTGTTCAGTATGCCCAGAGCATGCTGGGAACCTGCTGAGTTAGAGGTGACTGGGTTAGGACAACGTTGAGACTAGCCATGTGTGTTGTGGACATACATGTGAATTTTGTGACCCAATAACTATGATAATTGATTACTTATGATCTGTCAGGCGCTGTGCCTGATAACTTGAACCTACATTTTCACGTTTCATCCTCCCAACAGCTGTAGGAACCATATCGCATAGATGAGGAAACTGAAGCTCAGGGAGGTCAAGTTCACATTTGTGTGAAACCAGGGTTCAAGATTAGCTCTGTTAGCTCTTAACACACAAGACCCCATGCTGTGATGCCTCATGACCAGGCCCTATGGTCAAACAAGGATATAAATATTTATGAGATAGTTGAACTATTTTTAATTGGAAGGGAGGAGCCAAGTTTGTGTTCACATTTGTATTCCCACACCAAGACTAGAACATAATTTGTGTGTGTGCACTCAGTCATGTCCAACTCTTTTCGACCCCATGGATTGTAGCCCACCAGACTCCTCTAGTCTGTGGGATCTCCCAGGCAAGAATGCTGGGGTAGGTTGCCATTTCTTACTCCAGGGGATCTTCCCAACCCAGGGATCAAACCTGCATCTCCTGCATTGGTAGGCAAATTCTATACCGCTGAGCCACCTGGAGTATAATTACTGCTCAGTAAATATTGAAGGTTGGCATTTATGAAACTGTTTACAATCTTGTGTTCTAGTAGCAAGGCATGGGAACCTAAGAGTTCTACTCAAAAGGGCCTTTTTGCAAAGAATTGTGGAGTTAATGTGAACAAGATTGTGGGGACATGTTGGGAGTGTTGAAATTGGCTAGGGAAGGGATTGCAGTGAGATAGAGATTGCCCAAATGTAAGCCCACAGGCATGTCGACAAATTGAAATTGCCTCTCTGGCAAACAGTCCACAGTGGAGTCAGCCCTCCCATCTTGAAAGTGGTGAAAGTCCAGGAATCTGAGACCAAAGACCCTGAGGGATGAGGAGGAGAAAGAGGAGGGCTTGTGTCGGGGGTGGGGGTGGGGGTGCTGCCAGGTAACTGCCCCCGGCCTTAACCCCAAAGTAACCTGGAGGTATCTAGATGAAAAGTGTGAATGCGTGTGGCATTCCATGTTTACCCTGAATGTTTCTCCTTAGGATCTTGCAATACGAAAGATAACATGTTTTCTGTTTGACATAAAGTACTCAACTGCCACTGAAAAACCTGATGCCGGCAGAAGCCATCCAGGATAGAAAGCCAAGCATTTGCTCACTCTTAGGGAAAAGACCATATTCCAGGGATGTAGATTTCCTAGGTAATGCATCATGAGTTCTTTCATGCATCCGAGCTTGGATATGAGGTCTTTCTAGAATGTGTCCTGTGTCCATAAATTGGAGCTTCTGAAGGGCATTTAACCTTTTCTTGGAGGCCACGGGCACATTATGACTATCCCTGTGTCCTCACTTTGGTTAAGACTCCTCTCCGGGGTCCTGCAGTCCTGCTATCAGCTCTACTGTCCCTGCGCCAGCTTCGCTCCTCCCCCCAAGTTTCTGTTTGCATTTCCTAATCTGCGGGGACCTGGAATACAAAATATCTGAGGAAGCCAAGGATTGTGTTATCCTGCAACTCAGCAGTTCTAATTTTTATAGAGTAACCTGCCCCAGCTTTGCAAAGATGCACATCAAGTCAAAGGATGTTCGCTGCAGCAGCACTGTCAGGAGTATAGGCAGACCTCATTTTATTGCACTGTGCTTTACTGCACAGTAAAAATACTGTTTTTTTTTTTGTTTTTTTTTTACAAATTGGTTTGTAGCAACTCTGCATGGAGCAAGTCTGTCAGCGCCATTTTCCCAACAGCATTTGCTCCCTTCCTGTCTTTCTGTCATGTTTTGGTAATTTTCACCGTATTTCAAATCCTCCAGCAGCAAAAAAAATTTACAGCTTGCTGAAGGCACAGAAGATGACTGGCACTTTTAGCAATAAGGTTTTTTTCCAGTTCAAAGTAGGCCCATTTTTTTCTTTTTTTTTTTAGATATCATGATATTGCACCCTTAAAAGACTGGTATAGTGCAAACAAATCTTTCATATGCACTGGGAAACCTAAAGATTCATGTAGTTCCCTTTATTATAGTACGTTATTGCAGTGGTCTGGACTAAAAATAAAATACCTTTCTGAGGTCTGTTTGTAGTGAAAACTTGTCCTAAAGTGCATTTGTAGGACATGATTCAACAAATTGCCGTCTGTTAAGTTTTGAAGATTGCTATGTTGCTTAAAATAGTGAGGCAGATATGCCTGTGGAATAATGTCCAAGATAAACTCACTCATAAAAGAAGCAACTTACAAAATAAAAGCCCATGATCTCCACTGAGAGCGGATGCTCCGCATGTCCGTCCCACGCCCCTCAGAACCCCAGCACCCACGCGGGTCCTGGTGCCCAGCAGGTGCGGACCCCAGAGCGCCCCCTGCTCTCACCCTGCAGCCCCGGGGCCCTCCGTTCCTCCTGTGCCCAGGCCCCTCCCGCGGGCACCCTGTGTCCTCACTGCTCCAGAGGCGAGAAGGGGGAGTGAGAGCCTGGTAGGACCGCCTCCCAGGGTGACATAGTTAGCATGCTATGTAAGTTAGGCCTTGGGTTTCAAGAGGTCAGGAAGCGTTTGGCCTGGAGTCTGCTCTTGTGAAGTCGCTATGAGACTCTCCTCAGTCAAAGCAGAACTTCGGCAGTGCCTCAGTCTGGGAACGCTTCTCACCCTGGCTCCCCCTTGCCCCACCTCCCCAAGGAGGAGACCATTAAAGCCTGGTTCTAGGAGAGGGGAAGTGGGTCTCTATCTATAAACAGAAGAAAGATTCCAGTTTCCTGCAAACCCTACCTTACCTTGTTAGAAGGGAGGACAGACTGTTGAAAACTCAACAATGGAGAGTGACTCAGCAAATTCAGGCCACTGAGAGGGAGGCCGGTGCCAGGGACTGGTCTTGCGAGGATCCTGGACTAAGATCAGGGGACATTGTGGGCCTCGCCCAGGGAGGAAGGGGTGAGGACCTGGGGAGTTTCACCAGACTGGCACATTGTCTACTTCATACCTCCTGACTGTGAAATAACAGTGGAGACTTTCTCAGGATAGACTAATTCTGGATCTGGAGGAACGCAGGGACTGTGGTGGTGAGACACGGTGTGTGGGGGGTCCTGGCCCAGGAGCTTTACACCCCTTGTGGAGTTTCACCCTCACATTTAAGCCCCCAGATGTATTATTTCCAGAGACTGATGAAGCATCCGGAGATAAAGGGATTGGCCCAGGGTCACAGCTTGAGAGAGGTAGAGCCAGGATTCCAACCCATGTCTGTGTGGCTTAGAGGCTGTGCTTTTTTACAGTACCCATAATAAAAACTCAAAATCAAACTTGCAGTAGGGCAGTACATAAGCCATGGAGGTGGAGATTAAGAAACAAGAGTTCTGACCTCCTTGAAGGCAGACATGGGCTCTGGACTAGAGTTGAGAAGAACTGGGCAAAGAGCATAGGGCTCAGAGTTCCAAAGACCTGGGTTCAAATCCAGGTTCTGCCTTCACTGCTGTGTGACTTTGATCAGGTGGCTTGGCCTCTCTGTGCCTCAGTGTCCTCCCTGCCCCACTGTAGAGAGGATGAAACTCACCTAGGTTTGCTATGAAGTTTAAATGGGAATGATCCAGTTTTGGAAAGCTTCCGATACAGGGGCTGCCATATAATGAGTAGCTAATAACAGTCATGAGCCATTTCCATGACACGTAGGTGTGAGGGGGGAACATCCTCATGGGACCAGGCGCTGACATCCCGGTCAAGAGGAGGGAACAGTTCAAGGCCAGCCAGCCTCACCCCACCGCTGCAGTCCGCCTCTCTCTGTAGCTACTTATCTCTGGCTTCAAGTGCATCTGTGAAGTGGTGGGTGTGAGGCTGGGAACCTGAGTTTGCACTCAGGGTGGCGATGGGAACAGATGCTCAGAGGGTCACAGACTGTGTGCCAGGCCCTCCTCCTTCCTCCACAGATGTTATCTCTGCTCCTCCCCCTGTGCCTCCCTCTCCAAGTTCACCAGGAGGTGAAGCTGATTTCTCAGAGGGGAGTACCCAGGCAAGGTGTGGCCTAGTCCAGCTTGAACTTGGGTCCACCTGGCTGAACTCTTTCTGCCATACCTGTTCACTCCACTGGAAGCGACCTCTTTGCCCACTTCCCAGCCCTCCTGCAGGAAGAAACAGATGTGTCTTTTTTCCCATCAGATTGATGATCAGCCAACTAAAGTGAAACCCACACACATTTCCAGAGAACCTGGCTGAGTGACTATAGACAACTGCCTGGGTCCTCAGCCAGGGCCAGGCCATGGTGGGATGCTGGGTCCCAGGAGAGCCCCTGGGAAAGGAAGGCAGAGAGGCCTTGGACCGATGGCCTTGCCTATACCCCACCTGTGACCTTTGCCCCAGCCTTGGTTAAAGGGACTGAAACATCTCAGCTGGCTTCCTGAGACCAATTTCCCCAGCCTCGTGGGACAGCTTGCTTCACAGGACCCACCCTCCTCTCCGTCCCCATCTCTTAGCACTCTCTTGTTCACCAGTATCTCCGGCCACCTTTGTTTTTTCTCTAACACACCAGACTTACTTCTGCCCCAGGGCCTTTGCACTTGCTGTTCCTGCAGCCTGGACTGCTTCTCCTCCCCCCACTCTTCCCGTGGCTGGCTCCTTTCATCAGTCAGGGCTCAAGTCAAATGTCTGCTCTTCAGAGAAGCCCTCCTTGACCATCCCAGTTAGAGTTCTCTATCTTCCCCCACTTCAGTACTCTCTGCATCTCGTTTTTCTCTTTTGCACTTAAGACTGCAGTCTGAGGCTGCCTTGTGTATTTGATTGTGTCTTTACTTTCTGTGCCTACCAGAATGCCAGCTCCATGAAAGAAAGGTCCTTACTGAGTTTCGTTCCCACTCTGTGTCCTCAACCCTAGAACAGTGCCCTGCCCACTGCAGATGTTCACTAAATATTTACTGAATGGATGAAAAGAAGAATCTAACTCAGTTCTCATAACGACCCTGACAGTAGTGTGGTAGAGGAACGGTGGTTTCTATGACATAACGTGACTGATGGAATTTGGTGGCAGAAGGCAGCCTGTATGACTTCTGAAGCTAGATCTTAGGCAGCCTTTCAGGGACTTCCCTGGTTGGCCCAGTGGCTAAGAATCTGTCTTCCAATGCAGGGGATGTGGGTTCGATCCTCGATTGGGGAAAACTAAGATCCCACATGCCATGAGACAACTAAGCCTGTGTGCCATTAACTAGAGAACCTGTGCTCCAACCAGAGAAGCCCTTGTGCCACAGCAAAGAGCCCTCACACTATAGTGAAGACCCAGCGCAGCCAAAAAATAAAGATCAATAAATAAAACAAAGAAGACTTTAAGTAAAAAAAAAAGAAGAAGCCTTCCAGCTTCTGCCTGGTGGTGCTGACCGCTCTGGGAAGCCAGCTGTCATGTGAAAGGTCTGACTAGCCTGTGTCTGCCATGGAGTCAGGAAGCCCAAGCACCCGTGTGGCCACAGACATACGAGTGAAGCAGGCATCTTGCATCTTCAGCCCCAGGTGCCTTCATTCTGCAACCACATGACCAAGCCCTGCCCGGCTGAGCCCAATCAATGGACCCAACCATGTGAGATGGTAATAAATCAGTTTAAGCTACCAAATTTTGAGGTGATGTCACACAGTGGTAGATACAGATAACTGATAAGGAAGGTATGTAGTCTTCATTTTTTGGACCAAAGAAACCAGGGCATTGAAAGGACTGATGCCTTACCTCAGTACTTTTAGCAGAGTGGATGCTCCAGCTCGGACTGTCTCCAAGGCCTGTGCTTTTAACTTCTAGGCCACATATCTCTGAAGCTAATTCCTATTTGTTCTCTCTGATTTTTTTTTTTTTTTTTAACATTGCTTGTGGTCAGTATCAAGTTGAGAGCTGCTCCTCAGGACTTTCTTCCTTTTCATTGCAGATCTTTATAAACAATGAGTGGCATGATGCCGTCAGCAAGAAAACCTTCCCCACGGTCAATCCATCCACTGGGGACGTCATCTGTCACGTGGCTGAAGGGGACAAGGTAAGAATTGGTGACTTAACCTCAGGGCAGGGCTGAGCAGGTTGGGGACAGGTGGGCAAGTGTGGTTTTCACTCTTTTAGTTTCAGCCATACGAAAACATAGGTTTTCGTATGGCTGAAACTTTATCATGTATTACTTTCATAACTAAAATGCCCATTAAGATTTTTGAGTAAGTGAAGCCACAGAAACTTCCTTATAGATAAAAGTGCTAGATTGTACCCCGGTTCAAGAATTCATACAGCTGTAGAATTGCAGACTTGGAATTTAATTTGAGAACGTCTAATCCAGTCTCTCCATCCCAGACCTGGAAGCTGAAGGTCAGAGACGGGAAGTGCACAGCTGGTTGGAAATCTTGTTGAGCACAATTTGGGTCTTCTGAGATCTAGCTATGGTAGCTGTAGTATATTTTTTATTTACATATACCCATGGTAATTAAAAAACAGTAATATTAAAGTTAAAAAATTAGACATTCAGTAAAAAAAAAAAAACACTTCATTTTTTAAAACAGAAAAAGCTTTAATAAATGATTCAAGAATGCTTCCTGTCCTCTGCTTTAAGATAGTCTTCTATGTGCATATTTAAAGCCTTGCTTCCTTTGCTAAAAGAAAGTGTGAATACTTTTCTGACTCATAGTCTAATGGTAAATGTATTTAATATTAATGACAACCATGCTCCCCACCTCCTGATACACATCTGCCTCTATGAAAAATGCTAGCTGTGTTGATTTTATTGCTTCCCCAAGGAAAGAGAAGCTGATTAAACCTGCATGTGTTGTAGGCTGCCAGTCATCTCGGAAGGAATTTTACTGGTTTGGGAAGGAAGCGGGGGTCAGAAATGGTCAGTTTCTAAGTGCTGATCCCTGTGTTGCTGCTCCCTACATAACTCTTTGGGGGATTCGGAAATGGGAAGCCATCAGCATCCTCATTCCCACTCTGACTCCTGGCAAGGAGAGGAGCCCAGCTGCTCATTCTAAACCTGGTTCACAGAGCTCTTCGAGGCTGGGAGGAACTGTTTGGGGCAGTGTCTCCACTGTTATCGACTGGAGTCCCTGTGGGTGCGTTTGGCAGTGGGTCAGGAGGCATTTGGAGGGAGGTTACTGCTGAGAAGGCCTGAGGTGCCTGGGTGGGTGTTTTCCAGGCAGACGTGGACAGGGCAGTGAAGGCTGCCCGGGCCGCATTCCAGCTGGGCTCACCCTGGCGCCGCATGGATGCGTCTGAGAGGGGCCGGCTGCTGAACCGCCTGGCTGATCTGATTGAGCGAGACCGGACCTACCTGGCAGTGAGTTCTGAACCTCCTCCCTTCTCAACCTACACGGAGAACAGACATCCCACGGATAGTCAGCAAAGGGTTGCATCGGTGACAAGTAACTGACCAGAATGCTGTAGGCGGGACACCTTTGGGGTTTGCCCCTGTGTCAACCTGGGGAGCCTCTTGAGTGTTTCCTTTGATGTGATGGGTCTGGCTAAGAAAGGAGACGGGTGGGGAGGGGCTGTGATGGGGAGGCCTTCCTGGAGACAGCCCAGAAGATGGATAGCCTGCTGTGTGCTGGGCCTCCTCCCTGGCTGCAAGAGGCAGAAGAAACCAGGAGGCAATACCCTCACCTCTCCCAATCCATACTGCACATAGCAGCCACGGTGAACCTTCTAGAAGACAAATTATACCATGGTACTCTGCTCTTAAGCCTTCCATGGCATCCTGTAGTCTTAAAGCTCTGTTCCCTCAACATGATCTACTAGACCTTGTCTGGTCTTAACACTTGTGACTAATGATTGTGTCCTTATTTGCTGGCTTTTTATTCTATAAGTTCCCAGTGATCATCTCTGTATTCCTAACATCCATCTGCCATACATTAGAAGCTTGAAACAAATGTTTGTGAAATGACTGAATGAGAAGTTGGTGCCTCCTTCCTCCCGTCCCTCCCTCATGCTCCCTGCCATTGAAGAGGCCCAGAAGTGCTTTGAAATTCAGCACAAAGGGGCCAGCAGCCCTCCCTGTACCATGCTGAGCCTCCGTGCTGCTCATCACCTGATTTGCTCTGATTCATTCCTGTGCCCACCCGTCTGTGCTGATCTTGTTTTGTTTTTCATTCAGGCCTTGGAGACCCTGGACAACGGCAAGCCCTACATCATCTCCTACCTGGTGGATCTGGACATGGTCCTCAAGTGCCTGCGGTATGGGCTCAGGCTTCCTGCTGTTTGTTGTGGCTGTGCCAGTGAGGGGGGGGGGGGGGGTGGGGGGGGTGAGTGGGTGGGGAGTGTTGCTGCAGGGCTGTGAAAGGCTCACAGGAGCTGGGAGAACGTAGTGAGACTCTATCTCAGGGGGAACCGCCCCTCCGTACCAAAACTGTAATTGAGTCGTCCATGTCTTCTCTTTCAGTTTTGGTAATTCATGGGTTAGCTGAAGTTTGTCCCTTTCTTTGAGGTTATCTGATTTGTTGGCTATAGTGGCACATCACATTCTCCCATAATCATTTCTATCTCGTTTTTTATAATCATCATGTCCCTACTTCCAGTTCTGATTTTAGTTATTTGTGCTTCTCTCTTTTTCTTTTTAAACGTTATTTATTCAGTTGGCTGTGCTACGTCTTCGTTGTGGCATTCAGGATCTTTAGTTGTGGCATGTGGGATCTAGTTTCCCAGCCCGGGAGCAAACCTGGCTGTTGGGAGGTCTTAGCCTCCCGACATTTGGAGTGCGGAGTCTTAGCCTCTGGGCCACCAGAGAAGTCCCTCCCTTTTTTCCTTAGTCTAGCGAAAGGTCTGTCAGTTTAGTGACCGTTTCAAAGAAGCAGCTTTTGAATTTGTTGATTCTGTTGTTTTTCTGTTTTTCATTTCATCTGTCTCTGTTCTCCATTATTTGCTTCCTTCTTGCTAGCTTTGGGTTTAACCACAAACATTTTAATAACTGAGAAATACAAGATGAGGACTAAGAGGTTTCAGGCTAACTTGGGCAGCTAGAGAGAGTGAGGGGTCTTAAACCAACAAGGCCATTGGTTCTCACTGCTGCCTCCTTGCTGCGTTCTTCTCTTGATCGATTACCCCAGCCTCTTTAGGGCCTGTCTGCATGGTGGAACCTGGCTGCCCACACCCGGGCTTTCTTCTCTGTGCTTGATTCCAGCCAGACTGACCTCAGCCCCTTAGTCCTCGTGCCAGATCCCTGGAGCAGCGGCCCTGATTGAGTCTGACCAGCTGTGGTTCAGGTGGACCGGTCATTATACAGATAGTGGCTGCTGCCTCGTGCCCATGTGGACAGGGGTGGAGGGGAAGAAGCAGTGTCAGAGACATACGGGCTGGAGAACAAAACAGTGGTCCTCTCTCGTGACAGGGGTTCTCAGCCGGGGCCACTGTGTCTCCCAGGGGCCGGTGGGTAACATCTGGAGGTATTTTTGGTTGTCACAACTGGGAGGGAGGGGTGCTACTTGGCATCTCATGCATAGAGGCCAGGGATGCTTTAAAAATCCTAGAGGGTGCAGGACAGCTCCCACAGCGAAGAACTTGCCAGCCCCAAATGACAGGTGTGCTCTGCAAGAACAGTCAAGAGGGAGTGGCCGGGTGAACCCCAGGCAGAGCGCCAGGCCCTCCTGAGTCTGAGCAGTATACTTCTGTGCTGATTGAACATCTGTCCTGACGCAAGCAGACACACACAATATAGGCCTAAGAGGAAGGGAGCAGCGATGCCTTAATTTGTACAGACTGGTAAAATAACTCCCTGGCTATTTTTTTCCCCAGGGTCACATACCCATGTTCACACCCAGCTCAGCTCTGGTCTTGGGCTAACTTCAGCAGACATGTTCATTTCTGAAATCTCTTTTTCACACCACGTGTTGCATCCCTCCCCCTCTTTCATTTTCCTGCTTCCCTGAAAATCATCACGTACTACACACGCATGGCTCTTCCTCCCCTCGACTGGCCTTTTCACCATCGGTGTCCCTGTGTCCAGACGGTAACTCAGTCACTGGTTTGTTTCTGGTCACTGCTCCCTCACTGGTAGTACGGTGTTGTGCACACAAGCGCCAGCTGTTAGATGGGTTTGCACTTTCACACTAGAGTGGAGCTGTGGTTCTCAGATGATAACCTATGGTGCTGCACTGGTAAGACGGTCACAGTTTAATATATCTGTTTATTAAAAATACTGACTCCCGGGCATAGGCCCCAGAGAGTCAGCTGAATAAGTCTGAAGTGGGTACCTAGAATTTGGTGCTTTTTTACGAGCACCCCAGGTGAGTTTGAGGCTTTGAGGTTAGTTATCTAGAATGAATTACTGAGACCCTAGTGGTTAGCTAACTCTCTTTGGAAATAAAGCCAAGAGCAAGGGCAGTTATTAGAAAGACCCAGCTGGACCAGTCTGAGTGTTTGCTTTCTGCCAGGGTTTAGAGGGGTCCCTGACAGTCACTGATTAAGTTGTGACTTGACTTTTCTTTTTTTTTTTAAAGTTACTATGTTTTTTTTTTAAAGTTACTATGCCGGCTGGGCTGACAAGTACCACGGGAAAACCATTCCCATCGACGGGGACTACTTCAGCTACACCCGCCATGAACCTGTGGGAGTGTGTGGGCAGATCATCCCAGTGAGTCTTAGACTCAAAACACACACGTGAGGGTTTGTCAGGAGTGCTGTGGGAGGTAGCAGTCTCAGGCAGGTTCATTGCCAAGGTGGGAAGGTCTGTGGGGTGATGTTGGGTGGTGGTCTGGGCAGTGGATGAAAATATGGGTTTTAACAAAGCCAGTCAGCACTGCCGTGTGTGAACTCTGTGACCCTGGGCAAGTCACTGATACCCCTAGGAACTGATTTCCTTATCTGAAAAGTGGAAGTGAGAGTAGATGGTAAAAGCATCAATGAACATGAGTCACTAATCCTGTCGCCCACCACCTGCCTGTTCGTCTGTCTTACATCTGTAGTTGAGTTGTGAGGGGAACAGGAGAGGTTCAGAGAATCTCTGCTCTCTGGCTGCCACTTTCTGCAGCTGCTGTAGCTCTTGGCTGAGATTTTGGCAATGGCTGTTGTTGATTGCAGTGGAACTTCCCGCTCTTGATGCAAGCATGGAAACTGGGCCCAGCTTTGGCGACGGGAAACGTGGTTGTGATGAAGGTGGCTGAGCAGACTCCACTCACTGCCCTCTATGTGGCCAACCTGATTAAGGAGGTGCGTGGCTTGTGTCCGTCCTGGCCTCTAAATGTCTTTTTAAAGGCTTGTTCTATAGGAGTTCTGATGAGGGGCCCCCTGGTGGGGCCGGGTATTTGTAGCTCAGGGCCTGACCCCCTTCGCCTCTGCTCGTCACACTGCAGCCTAGGTGACCCCCCATCACCTCTTTTCTATGTTGGGCTTCATTGCCAGACCTGTTTTCGTTAGAAAAGACTCCAATCCTGGGAACGATTGAAGGCAAAAAGGAGAAGAGGGCAGCAGAGGATGAAATGATTCCCTAGCATCACCGACTCAATGAACATGAATTTGAGCAACCTCTAGATGGTGAAGGACAGGGAAGCCTGGCGTACTGCAGTCCATGGGCTGAGTGACTGAACAGCCACCCCTATGAAGATGATCATTCTGAGTGCCATGGGGGGAGGGGCAACAGCCATAGGGAATCCCACAAAACAGGTTCCTCGCTGTACCATCTAGAACTCCTGAGCAGCACCCAGTAAGACTGCTTACCTGGGCGCTGGGCCGACTGCCTCAGCCTCTCTGGGAAGGGATGCGTATTCCTCGGTCTGGACTCTGTGGAGCAGAATGACTCCAGTGTCCCTGGTGTTTTTTTCACAGGCTGGCTTTCCTCCTGGTGTGGTCAATATTATTCCTGGATTTGGCCCCACAGCCGGAGCTGCCATCGCCTCCCATGAGGACGTGGACAAAGTGGCTTTCACCGGCTCCACTGAGGTAAGGCATCCCAGCACCTCAGGCTTGTGGTGCATTTGGCTCAAGCGCCCTTGTCCTCAGAGGATGGTGAGTTCAAGATCAGCCTCGGGGGAATTTCCTGGTGGGCCAGTGGTTAGGACCTGGCACTTTTCACTGCTGTGGCCCTGGGTTCAGTTCCTGGTTGGGGAACTAAGATCCTGAAAGTGGTGCAATCAAAACAAAAAATAATAATAAAATAAGGTTAGCCTCTGGGCATTGCATGGGGGTTTGCCCCAGGACTGTCTTTGAGTAGCTTGTGTGAGGGGCCCAGGTGTACCAGCAGTGACCATTAGGGTGGAGCCCTCTGTAGACTGGTTGACACTCCAGCTGCTGTGGGGCCAGGGGGGTGGGTTGACATCCCATGTGGGATAAAGAAGCCAAGGCTGTCTAGACTTCTAAAGCCCAGAGCTGCCGGCCTGCCCAAGGTCAAAGTACCTGGGCTGTGTCAGGCTCTTTGACTGGCACTGTCCTGGTGATTAAAGAGTGGGCCTCAGGGAGACGTTTGAGTTCAAATCCCAGCCTTGGGATTATGACCTGGGGTGATTCACTGCATGTCTTTGGGGGCTCCATTCATTTGTGTTTAGACTGAGGATGGTAGTGTCTATGCAGTAGAGAGGTAGGTGTGCTGTAGTGGCAGAGATGATTGGAGTCAAACTAAGTGTTTCAGCAGCACTTACTTAGCTATGTGACCTCAGGCAAGTCAGCCTCCTGAAGCCTCCATTTCCCCAAAATGGGGATAATAACTCTGCCCACCTCCCAGGGTTGGCGTGAGTGAGATACAGCTTATTCAGCAAAGGTCTACCCCAGAGTAATTACTCGGTGAGTGAATGAATGAGTGAGTGCTGCTCTGGGCCAGGCCCTGCAGAGACAAGGATGTATAAGATGTCTGGGGATTCCTTAAACATAATTACCTTGGATGCAGGGACAAAACTCATTCTACAGAAGTAACTTGAATTCTTGGAAGGCTTTATCCCATGACTTTAGAGAAGGTACACTGAATAGCACAATAAACGAGATCTTCAAAATGATTCCCCTGAGATGGAGATACCTTCAAACGTTCAGTCTGTACGGAGAGATGGTGGTTGTGGGAGGGCAGAATGGTGGCTGAGGTGACACGGTTCACTCTTTCTGGGGTTAGTCACCACCTAAATCAACGCCTCAAGGGGATATTGAGAATCTGGCAGAGGGGATGGTTTCCCGACCAAGATAATGTGTGTTCACCCAACAGATAAGCACAGGGGTGTCTTTGTGCCAGGCTTTGGAATATGGAGGTGAAAAGCATCCCATCCTTGTTGTGTGTGGGGGGGGATACCATTTGGAACACTGTGAGGAGGAAGCAGGATGGCAAGTCTGAACTGGTGCTGGACGCAGTTTGTCCAATGTGAATTCTGATTCTAGGTTTACTGTGGGCAAGTGACTTGACCACTCTGAGCTGCCACTCCCACATTTCTAAATGAAGAAGGAGAGTCGGCCCTCCCCCTGAGATTGTTTAGAGGGTTGACCTCAATGCTCACAAAGCACTTAGCACAGTGTCTGGTGTGCAGATGGTGCTCAGGAGGCAGAAGCCACACGGCAGTGACTCTGACTCTGCTTGTTGTCACTACATCGCTGTCATCCTGGGAGCTTAGAGGGTGGGGCTGCCATGTGAGTGAGTGGCCAGATGTGGCGAAATTCTCCAGGTCTCTTCTAATCCAGCTGCTCCCTCAAGCTGTGGGGACTTCTGTTCTGTGCCTATGAGAATGTTTGGCTCTTTTCTTCTCCACTAAGACCTTGTCCCTGTTTATGCATCCCTGCAGGTTGGCCACCTAATCCAGGTTGCTGCGGGGAAGAGTAACCTCAAAAGAGTGACCCTGGAGCTAGGAGGAAAGAGTCCCAATATCATCATGTCAGATGCTGATAGTAAGGTTTTTTTGGGGGGGTGGGGAGGCAGAGGTCTGATGTCAACCCACCACTAGCTGTGTCCCCTGTCGTCCCACTCAGCTCTGCAATCCTTATCATCCATTGGATTGGTTTCTGCCCCCAGGGCCTCAGGAGGAAAGTGAGACTCCTCAGCGTGGCGCTCCGGCCTGTGTGGCCGTGGCCTGTGCCCCGCCTTTCTCCTCTCCGCTGTCTGTAATCCAGCCAGGCCGAGCTACTGACTCGCCCAGCTGTGCAGCCTGCCGCCAGATCAGGCTACTTTCCCTCCATCACGCCCTCTTTCCTGGTCCTGTTGAGATGCTCCTAGATTTGTCTGCTTTGAGGGAGCCCTCCGTGATGGTCGCGGGCCAGCTGACTTGCCCTTGGCTTCATGACCGTAGCGGGTTGGGACCCCTGCTCCTCGTGTCTGTCTGCCACTTGGTCTCCATGCTTGGCGAGGGGAGAGGTCAGACCTGGCTCGTCCCCACTCGGGCTGTGGCACCCAGTGGGCATGAGTGCTGTTGGCAGTGTTCATAGGCAGCAGCCGCCACAGGGGCCAGGCTTCGCCTCTCCTCTGACTGCGGTTGCCCTCTGCCTCCCCAGTGGACTGGGCCGTGGAGCAGGCCCACTTCGCCCTGTTCTTCAACCAGGGCCAGTGCTGCTGTGCCGGCTCGCGGACCTTTGTGCAGGAGGACATTTACGCCGAGTTCGTGGAGAGGAGTGTTGCCCGGGCCAAGGCTCGTGTGGTCGGGAACCCCTTTGACAGCCGGACTGAGCAGGGGCCGCAGGTGAGCTCCGTGGTTGCACTCAGGTCTCAAGTGTTGGAGCTGCCGTGGAGAAGCAGAAAGGGCCTTGGACTCTCGAGTCAGGCAGGCCCGGCTCCAAGGCTTAGCTCTGCCAGGCACCAGCTGTGTGCCCGTGGGAAGCCACCTGCTGTCTCGGAGCCACCAGTGTCTCACCCGTAATGCCTACCCTTCCAAACTCCCAGAGTGGCTGTGAAGTGGAAACTAACAGTAGAAAGTTACATTTACACTTAGCCTTTGTAAGTTACACACACATAATAAATACGAGGAGTGTCTATGGGAAGGGGAACATGTGTTTCCTGGACCTCGGCCATCCATAAAAATGCCTTGACCAGTAAGACACATGCATACCTGTTCATTGCAGCTGCCTCTGGGAGGCGAGCAGAAGGACTTCATTTCACTTTATACTCTTCTGAGCTGTTTGACTGAAAATTTAAGGAAAAAAAAAAACATATTTTTTTACCACGAGCATGTATTCATTTTAATTAACAGTCAATAATAATTACAGTAAGAAACATAGCAGTACCTCTCCCCACCACCTCCTCTCATATCCTGGTCCTTTTCCCAGCACTGTCCTTAGACCCAGTCTGTCCTGGGCTCACTCTCCACAGGGCCCCATGCTGGCCACCTCCCGCCACCTCCTCCCAGGGCGGAGGAGCCACAGGGTCAGGAATCAGGGATGCTTGCCCCAACAAGTCCCTTGTGTGCAGCCCTGAACCCACTTCTAGAGCCCCCAAGGGCGTCTCTGTGGGCTTCACCGTCCTGGGGGCACTTGTGGTGTCCACTCCCCGGTATCTGGGGCCAGCCAAGGCAGCCCTTTTTTTTTTGTTTAACAGATTCTGTTTTTTAGAAAAATGAGCAGAAAGTACAGAGTTCCCATAAACCCCGAACCTTTCCACTCCCTAGTTTCTCCTGTTTTTAACATCTCGCCCTGGTGTGATACATTTGTTGTATTATTAACTAAAGTTCATAGCTTGCATTAGTGTTCACTCATGGTGGTGTACATTCTGTGGGTTTTGACAAATGAATCAAGACATATATCTACCATTACAGCATCCCTTTTTCTCTCATTTTTCTTTGTGGTTTGTGGCTATTTAATTATTCAGGTAATACAGATTTGTATTAAAAACTTCATAAAAAAGAGTTTAAAGTAAAAAGTAAGATTCCCCTTTTCCCCTCCATGTCCATTCCCCGTAGGTAACCAACCACATTCACACACCCACACAGTTACATTTTGGTATGTTTAACAAAAGTTGGAATATATAATATATATCATTCTATAAGCTTTCTCCCCTTTAAGAAATCTCTTAGGCTATCTTTCTGTGTTAGTTGACTGATGTGTTGTTATTGATGATACAATATATGGATATACCATAAATATATTAACCAGCTCCTCTGATGTATACTTAGAATTGTTTCTGCTTTTTGCTTTTATAAGATGTTCCCCAGTGACTATCCTTGTTCAGGTCCCTTTGTCAAATGTAGCATAAATTCCTAGAAGTTAAATAGCTGGGTCAAAGGATATGAACATCTAATTTTTTTGCCTAATTTTTAAGACACTTGCCCAAAGAGCTGTACCAGCTTATGGTCCTTTTTTTCCTTTCTAACTTGGGGTATAATTGACCTGTTTTATCAGTTCTTCTAACAGTATATGAATATTTCAGAGTATTTTTACCATCAGTGTATTTTCATACTAGTTAAAATTTTTAGTAATCTCATACTTGAAAAACAAAAATGGTAGGCTTAATATTGGAGAAGGCAATGGCAACCCACTCCAGTACTCTTGCCTGGAAAATCCCATGGATGGAGGAGCATGGTAGGCTGCAGTCCATGGGGTCGCTAACAGTCAGACATGACTGAGCAACTTCACTTTCACTTTTCACTTTCACGCAGTGGAGAAGGAAATGGCAACCCACTCGTGTTCTTGCCTGGAGAATCCCAGGGATGGGGGAGCCTGGTGGGCTGCCGTCTATGGGGTTGCACAGAGTCGGACACTACTGAAGACACTTAGCAGCAGCAGCAGGCTTAATATTTACTTCTGTGAGGGCTAATGAGTTTGGTGGCATCTATTAGGCTTTTGGCCTTGCTTATTCATGATCTGGGCTTGCCAGGTGGCGCTAATGGTAAAGAACCCACCTGCCAATGCAGGAGACATGAGATGTGGGTTTGATCCCTGGGTCGGGAAGATCCCCTAGTGGAGGGCATGGTAACCCACTCCAGTATTCTTGCCTGGAAAATCCCATGGACAGAGGAGCCTTGTGGGCTACAATTCATGGGGTTGCAAAGAGTCGGACACGACCGAAGTGACTTGAGTGTGGCGCATTCATGATCTGGCCCATTTCCCAGGTGTCTCCTTGCCTGTGTGGTTCTAAGACTGAAGCTAGGAGATGTCTGGCTGTAGCATCTATATAACTCTGGGCTCCTTCTCCCTCAGGTGGATGAAACGCAGTTTAAGAAGGTCCTTGGCTATATCAAATCTGGGAAGGAGGAGGGGGCGAAGCTGCTCTGTGGCGGGGGGGCGGCTGCCGACCGTGGCTACTTCATCCAGCCCACCGTGTTTGGAGATGTGCAAGATGGCATGACCATCGCAAAGGAGGAGGTCAGTACGGGTCCAGCGCTTGAGGGAATGTTCTTAGGAGGAGAAGTGGACAGTTCAGTCCAGCATCTTGACCCGTGACCCATCCGCTGACCTTGAGTCAAATCCTGGCTCAGTGCATAAGACAAACCGTTTGCAATTCACTTCTGACCTTGTGCTTCTCTTCAGTCTCTCATGGCTGCCAGCGGTTGAGGGGAGTGTCTGAATTCCCTGGCTGAGCCTACAGGTCCTGTGTGTGTTCTGGTCCCTGTGAGCGGTGACTCAAGGCATGACTCTTCCCGGCCCTTCGCATGGCCTTCATGTAAGCAGGACACTGGGCTAGGTCAGAAGCCGGACTTCCCCGCATAGCTAGAGTCCCTTGATCTTCTCCTCCTTGGTACTGATTACGAACGTAGCACAGCAACTGTCTCATTCATTTGTTTCACAAATCATTTCTGAATGCCTACTGTGTGCCAGGTGCTCCACAGACGCTGGAGCGCCGGGGGTATCCAGTACCTGTACCCTGCCCTTGTGGCGTTCAGGCTCACTCCACCTCCCCTGGGAGGATGAAGCCCTTTAGTGGCCTTACACAGGGAAAATATTATACTGCCACCCTCTTCCATTGATAACTTAAAAAAAAAAAAAAGAGCAAAAATCAGGATACGAAAGTACAACAAAGTTCTGCCTCTCTTCCCCATCATGACTACTTTGATCCTTTTTTTTTCATTCTCAACGGAAATGGAAAATATTCATTTTCTAATGAGGGCAGGGGTCCCTCTGCTTTGCTGGTGCCCTAAGTGCGTGATGGCCTGTCTCCTGCTCCGCTATGAGACGGGCTCCTGGCGCTCTTCTCACCTCCCTCTTGACACTCTACCCAGTCCTGGGGTCAGCCGTTTCTTCACAAAGTCCTACTTCCTTTTAGTGGCAAGTGGATTTTTTAAGAAGGGGCGCCGGTGCCTGGAACTCCATTTTCCTCCTCCCTGCTCCTCCCCCCGACTCTGGCTTAGCCGGTTTCTGCTCCTGTGGCGTCCCAGCTTGATTATCACCTCTCGGGGCCCTTCCTGACCTCCCGCCTCCCACCACTCATTCAGGCCAGCCTCGGGGCTCCCCCTCCGCACGTGTCCTGGTCATAGGTCAGTCACTTGATCGCATCATGATCCGTTCCCAGGGGCTCTCCCCTGACAGGGCTGAGAGCAGCCACACCGCAACAACAAAAAGCACACCTGATTCCCCTGTTGTGGTTTCTAAGTCCCATTGCCCACGTAAAAGGAAACAGGATTCCTGGAGGAAGCGGCTCAGATGTGACAGGGAAAGTGTAAGATAAACCTGGAACATCTTGAGATCAGAGATCCTGTTTTGTGCATAGTTAACTTCCTCATAGCTGTTTCTTCAGCATCTGATGAGTGCCTGGCTGAATGACTGACTTAAGTTCTTTGAAACTAAATCTACATGTATCTTGTCAGGGCAACCCCTACCTCACAGGACTGTTTAGAAATAAGCTACGGTGTGTAAGGCCCATGGCACGTGATAGAAGGCCACCAGCTGCCTTCCTTCCCTCGTGTTCCAGTGAGTGTGGGAGCTGTCGTCTCCCTCAGGAGCCGTCAGCACCCTCGCAGTGTGTCTGGGGGCTGCTGGAACCACCACTTCTGGAACCACCTGCTCAGTGCTGGGGAGAGCTGGGTAACATGTGGGTCTGCGTCTGCCACGGCCACCCTTCATGCTCTCTCATCCCAGATCTTTGGGCCAGTGATGCAGATTCTGAAGTTCAAGACCATGGAGGAAGTCACTGGGAGAGCCAACAATTCCAAGTACGGGCTGGCTGCAGCTGTCTTCACAAAGGACTTGGACAAGGCCAATTACCTGTCCCAGGCCCTCCAGGCCGGCACGGTGTGGTAAGGCCCACAGTCCTTCACAACCCAGGCAGGGATCCCAGGCCAGGGTCTTTGGTAATCCCCTGCTCACTGCCGGGCTTAGTGCCTCCTGGGTCTGGGTGTGGGGTAGTGGGTAGAGGTTCCCCATGCCCTTCTCCAGGGGATTAAACTTCTGTCCATGATGCTGTTCTTGGACAAGCAGATGGGTGACTGGGCTCCTTACCAAGCTGTGAGGGGACCAGCACTGAGGGTCCACGTCTGTGTCACCCTAGTTTTAAAAGCTTAGCACCTATGTCATACCCACTAGGACAGCTGTAATTAAAAAAACAGAAAATACCAAGTATTGGTTAGGATGTGGAGAAAGGAACCCTCACACATTGCTGGTGGTACTGTAAAGTGTTGCAGCCACTACGGCAAGTCTGGCATAAGTTCCCCAGTCAGTTCAACATAGAATTATCCTAGGACCCAGTAATTCCACTCCTGGGTGTATACCCAGGAGGAAAAAAACCACACATCCACACAAAAAAGTGTATGTGAATATTCATAGACTATTCAAGATAATGAAAAAGTGGGAACAACCTAGATGTCCATCAGCTGATGAACGGATACACAGATTGTGGTTTGTTCATGTGACGGAATGTTCAGCCATAAAAAGGAACGAAGTGCTGATACCTACTCCAACGTGGATCATGTAATACTAAATGAAAGAAGCCAGACACAGAAGGTCACACGTTGTGTGACTCCACTTATATGAAATATCCAGAACAGAGCCATACAGACAGAAAGTAGATTAGGGGCTCCTAGGGGGCCGGAGGAGGAGGGAACAGGGGAGTAACTGCTGACTGGGTTTAGGGTTTCTTTCTGGGGGATAGAAATGTTCTGGAATTAAATGGAGAGGATATAATATTGTGACTATGTTATAAAGCACTGAATTGTATACCTGTAAGGTGGCAAGTTTTTAAATTCAGTCAAAATTTAATAGTTTAAAAAAAAAATTACCCTGAAAAGTTTAGCACCTACTTAGCAAAAACAATTCATTAAAATGGGAAGCTAGCATTTGCTGCACCCTGGTATTGACATGCATGTCATCAAGGACCAGACAACTTACGGCTTTGTTTCACACGGCCTGCTTTTGAACCCCTGTATGGCTAGATTTTAGTAGGGTTCTCCACCTCCCCTTTTTCTAAAGTAAAATTTGCTCTACAGTTAAATTTTAGAGCAATACAGGAGGTTTGAGGAGGCAGGATACTTCATCCCTGCCCCAGCGAGTTACTCCTGAGATCTCATCTTAAATTGCAGGGTCAACTGCTATGACGTGTTTGGGGCCCAGTCGCCGTTCGGTGGCTACAAGCTGTCTGGGAGTGGCCGCGAGCTGGGGGAATACGGGCTGCAGGCGTACACCGAAGTGAAGACCGTGAGTATGGGCGCCTCCTCCGCCCTCCTCCTGTGCCGGCCTCCACCAGTGTTGACTGCAGGTTTCTTGTTTTAAGCCGTGGAAGCTACCAAAGAGGGTAGAGACCCAGTCTCTGCTATGCCTTGCGAAGAATAAGTAGGGACTTTCCCACCACTGTGCTTACACAGTCCTTTGCTGGGCTTCGTCATACGACGACTCCTAGAGAGCCTGAGAAGAGGGAAGGACCCCCAGTGGAGAAAGACTGGGTCAAGGGGAGGCCGAGTGTGATCTTAACGCAGAACACAGCCCTAGCAGGTTGCTGGGATCGACTGTTTGGTCGTTGAGATGTTGGAAAGTCAGGAGACCCCTTCTGCTTATTGCGCCGGCAGCACCCAGCTGAGGGGGCCTGCGGACCACAGGGAAGCATGCAGATTTAACAGCTTCTCTGCACCCCTCTCACAGGTCACGGTCAGAGTTCCTCAGAAGAACTCCTAAAGAACCACGCTGGCTTTCTTACTCCAGTGACAGAAGGGTCAGACGAGATCAGCTACAAGACCAAGAAAAATGACCCTTGCACACTAAAGGTCTTGAAAGAGAAACTCTGCCAGAAGAATCTCTTGGATCAAGATAGTTCCTTCCAATATATAGGCTGGGTGTGGGGCAAAGGGTATATGGAAAGGCTTTTACACTGCAGTACTGCTCCTAGCTTTCAGAGTGACTTTCCAAAGATTCAAGTATCTCATTCTGTCCATCTGACACCCTTCCTTCTGTAACTTGCCTTAACGGGGGAGGGAAAGGCCCTGTTGGCCGCTGTACTGTCACTGAGGTAACAGCTGGCACCCTGCTTTGTGTTCTGGACTAAAAACTCAGTAAAGACTGCTGCTCTTCACTTTCTAAGTAGCTCTTCCTCCATCTCAACCCAAGGAGATGTGGTCACATAGATACGTTGTCCCCTCTGTACGTGTGTCACATTGGGAACACCTACCACCCCTCCCCTCTTGGGGCAAACAGCCTCTGTAGCCTGCACGTAATTAACAGAGGTCTCTGGCCTGCCCCTGTGTGGCGGGCTCTGTGCGGCACGCCGAGTCTTGACGCCTCGACAGCACTCCCGGCCCCTGCCCTGACAGACGGGGAGGTGAACGGGGAAAATGGGCACTTGACACTCAAGGTTGCTTCTCAGTGTTGTAAGTTCAAAGAGAACAAGTGAGGTAGATTCCTGCCGGACCAGTTTCATAAGCGATTAACCTGAAAACCAGATGTCCATTTACTCATTTTAAGTGAGGTTTGTATTTTCAGACTTTTTGAATCTTGTATCCAGAACACTGCCTGCCTTTAGTCAGGGGACCTGGCAAGTTAGTAATTAGTACTATTAGTAAATTCGGAATCTGAACATTCCTTAGTGAGCAATGAAAATGGAGCAAAAAGAACTGAATCACAGTAGTGGTTTGTGAGTGATCATGACTGGGTCACAGCTTCCTTTAAGAATTTGGGGGAGAAGTTTGATCCTTTCCTGAGAAACACACCTGTATAATTTTTGCAGACAGTGTCAGGGGAGTGGTGGAACTCGGTCGTTGACCCCTGCCTTTATTTCATTGAGGCTAAGCCACATCTTGGTAAGCAACCCCTATTCCACTAAAGACTCATTTGATATCTGAGTAGCACTTCACAATTTTTGTCATATATGCATATACTTGTACTATTATTTACTTTGTTAAATTGACTTTTATTTAGATAAAAAACACCTTATTTGCAGTACATAAAAAAGAACAGCATTTAACTGTCATAAATAGAAGACATGAAAAATGAAAGCAGAACAATGTTACTAAATTATAAACAATGAAATACAAGTAAACTGAATCTTTTAGATTATTAGGTTTACTTGTATTTAACCTTTTAGATTCTATATATTTACATATGGGCTTCCCAGGTGTTGCTAGCGGTAAAGAACCCGTCTGCCAATGCAGGAGACGTAAGAGATGCAGGTTCAATCCCTGGGTTGGAAGTTCCCCTGGAGAAGGAAATGGCAACCCACTCCAGGATTCTTGCCTGGAGAATCCCATGGACAGAGGAGCCTGGCAGGCTACAGTCCATAGCGTCACAAAGAGTCAGACACAACTGAAGTGACTTAGGACAACACATATTTATATATGTATTCAAAAACTCTTAATCATTCTATAGCTGAAATGGGTACATCTCATTGAGGTGATGATTTTATGACCAGTTGAAAGTAACAAAATGTTCCAGTTCATGTTGCTTCAAGGTGAAATGAGGTTCGCTGCCAATAAAATGATTCTGTATTTTAACTTTGATGATGAGCTGCAGCAGCAACAGTCCCATGACAAATGAGTGGCAAAAGGCAAAGTTTTGAGCTCACCCCACCCTCTGCCCCCTGTTCTTCCATCTTGGCAGTCTCCTAGGCATGAGGTGGTGCGTGGTGATGTGAGGTCAGCTGAAACCTCTCTCCCTGTTCTCACAGCACCTGGGTCTACCCAGGGGGAGGGAGGGATTAAACATAGGGACTTAACGGGAAGAGGGTGTTCTGACAGTGCCAAGGGGGATGCCTGGCCTAGCCTGGGCCCGATGCTCTTCACACGTACATACATCCGTCATAAACAATGACTGGCAGGTTACTGAGTGCCAGGTACTGGTGACGCAGAGACAGACTTTCAAAAGAGATGACTATACTATGATGTAAGTGCAGGATACAATGAGAGCAATAAGGTAATGACATCATGGAAGGACGAGAAGGGCCCCCGCTGACTGCAGGCAGGGAAGAAGGCTCCCTAGAATGTACTCATGTACCTCTCACAGGTAAAAGAAGCCCAAAGGTGAGCAGTGAAGGGCTATTAAAGTGATTCCACAGAGTCCTTAAATAAGTGATTCCTACTATTTCAATGTTCCATTATCCCTACAGCATGACCCTCATCCTTGAGGTTTAATATAACTTCTAACATTCCAGTCATCACAACAATATCCAAGAAGCAAGATGGTTAAAGGACAAAGAAAGGTGGGACACTTTTCCCTATAAGGCAACTTCCCAGAGGCTGCCCACAAAACTTCTATTTATATGTCCAAAGACATATAAATCTTGAGAAATCTGTATGCAGGTCAGGAAGCAACAGTTAGAACTGGACATGAACAACAGACTGGTTCCAAATAGGCAAAGGAGTATGTCAGGGCTGTATATTGTCATACTGCTTATTTAACTTATATGCAGAGTACATCATGAGAAACGCTGGGCTGGATGAAGCACAAGCTGGAATAAAGATTGCCGGGAGAAATATCAATAACCTCAGATAGGCAGATGATACCACCCTTATGGTAGAAAGTGAAGAAGAACTAAACAGCCTCTTGATGAAAGTGAAAGAGGAGAGTGAAAAAGTTGGCTTAAAACTCAATATTCAGAAAACTAAGATCATGGCATCCAGCCCCATCACTTCATGGCAGATAGATGGGGAAACAGTGGAAACAGCAGCTGACTTTATTTTTTGGGGCTCCAAAATCACTGCAGGTGGTGACTGCAACCATGAAATTAAGACGCTGACTCCTTGTCAGGAAAGTTATGACCAACCTAGACAGCATACTGAAAGCATTAAAAGACAGCATATTAAAAGCAGAGACATTACTTTGCCAACAAAGGTCCATCTAGTTAAGGCTATGGTTTTTCCAGTATTCATGTATGGATGTGAGAGTTGGACTATAAAGAAAGCTGAGCACTGAAGAATTGATGCTGTTGAACTGTGGTGTTGGAGAAGACTCTTGAGAGTCTTCTAAAGTCCATCCTAAAGGTGATCAGTCCTCAGCGTTCACTGGAAGGACTGATGTTGATGCTGAAACTCCAATACTTTGTCCACCTGATGCAAAGAGCTGACTCATTGGAAAAGACCCTGATGCTGGGAGGGATTGGGGGCAGGAGGAGAAGGGGACAACAGAGGATGAGATGGTTGGATGGCATCACCAAATCAATGGACATGAATTTGGGTATGGGTAAACTCCGGGAGTTGGTGATGGACAGGGAGGCCTGGTGTGCTGCAGTCCATGAGGTCACAAAGAGTCGGACACGACTGAGCAACCAAACTGAACTGGACAAAGTTAAGATACATGGCCACATCTAGCTGCAAAGAAGGATAAGGAACTTCGTCTTTTTAGCTAGTCGGTGTGCCTATCTAAAACTAAAGTTCTTAATTCTAAAGAATAAAAGGAAAATGGATTTGGGAAGGCAAACAGCAATCCCTACCATGATGCGAAAACAGCCCTCAAAATTTAGGGTGATGACTTTCCTATGCCTAACCTTACCACCAACTCAATCCAAATCTCATGATATAGGTTAGAGTACTTCTGGGAAGATTTTCTATACACAGTGTATTACTTAGGAAGATTCTACTTGCAAGTATCAGAAAACCAAGTTCAGGTCAGTGTGAAAAAAATATGGTCCCCATATTCCAAAACTCTGAGATCTTGGCTCTGACTATGGCTTGATCCAGAAGTTCAAAAAAAGTTTCCATCTCTTGGCTCCACCTCTGCCAGGTGGGCTCCACATTTAAACTGTACCCATTTTGGTTCTGGCGGGTCTGGATTCTTAGAAGAGCCAACTGACTTCAAGAGCTCTCATCTCATACCGGGCAAGGTTCAAGTCCACTGGTTAGGAGAAGATGCGTGTTTGCTAGCCCTAGCAAAGACTCAGGTTCATGCTAACTAGTCCAGTGGGTGTGACATCCTGCCCTTCCCTTGACCAGTGGCCAGAGCAATCAAGATGTGGTGATTCACTTCGACCTGAGTTGTAATGGTCCACCCTTGTAGCCCTGGAGGCCCTTCTAGTCCATTTGAAGCTGAGAATGAGGGATGGATCCCCAAAGAAAAGTGGTACTCTTATCTGAAGGAGAGGACATAAGACATTGGAACTGCCAACCTTTTAATACTCCAGTGCTGCTGAAAACCCTGTTGGGGTGAATTGGAGAAAATAGAGAAATGTCATGTTTCTTGCTCCCATCCCTGTGAATCAGACTCATGGTAAGAGAATCTGCTTCTTAAACTGACAAATAACAAAAGAAATGCCAGCTATTAAGAAAATGTCTATAATGTTGATTCTGACATCCTAGACCCAGTAATCTCCTTCTTCTTTTAGTGACAGAAACCTATTAGAACACTAGGTAGCTGTCTGGAAGCAAAAACAAAGTTCTCAGGTTATGAACAACCTAATCTCCCTGGGTTTTTAGATGTGGGTCAGTCACAGGAGTATTGGGTATAAAGCTGGTGTTTCTGCCTTTGGCCTTGCCCAGTGCCCAAGAGGAAATGGCTGAATAAAGGACACAAGGAACGTCCTGCAGCCCTGAGAAGGGGGCTGATGTGGGGTTTTCTAAGTCTAGGTGCCACCTTGTGGTTAGTAAGTACAACTACAGCGCTATCCACTCCAAGATCTGACAGGATAGACTTAACGATCAGGCTGGTGTTTTTCAAAGATAGTGTTACAGAATGAGCTTATTTACAAAGCAGAAAAGACTCACAGCAAACTCACGGTTACTAAAGGGTACTGTGTAGCACAGAGAATGTAATCAATATCATGCAATAAACTATAATGGGAAAGAATCTAAAAAAGCATGTCTATATAACTGAATCATTTTCCTGTATACCTGAAACTAACACAACACTGTAAATTAACTACTGCTGCTGTTCATTCGCTAAGTCATGTCTGACTCTTTGCAACCTAATGGACTGTAGCCCGCCAGGCTCCTCTGTCCATGGGGTTTTGTAGGCAAGAGTACTGGAGTGGGTTGCCATTTCCTACTCTAGGAGATCTTCCTGGACCAGGGATTGAACCCACATGTCTTGCATTGGCAGGCAGATTCTTTAGCACTGAGCAATACTTCAATTTTAAAAATGGTTGAAACAAAACACAAGATGGCATTACATGCAACATGATTGTATATGAGCAATACCTAGTAGACAAATGCAATGAATCAAGAGGCGAGGGTCACATACCCAAATAACAAAAAACAAGGGCTCCAACAAAAACTTCTTCATGAATGTTCACAGAAGTACTATTCACAACAGCCCCAAAGTGGAAATAACCTGAATGTCTATTAACAGATGAACTGAATAAACAAAATGTGGCCCATTCACATAATGAAATTTTATTTAACCACAAAAAACTAATGAACCACTAATACATGCTATTATATACATGAACCTCAAAAACATGATGCTATGTGAAAGAAGCTGGACATAAAAGGCCACATACTGTCTGATTCTGTGTTTATGAAATGTTCAAAATAGGTAAATCCAAAGAGACAAATCAGATTGGTCACTGCTGGCAGCTAGGGAGAGAAGGAAAGTTGATGGATGATACAGGTTTCCCTTTGGGGATGATGAAAATGTCTTTGAACCAGATAGAGATGATACTTGCACAACACTGAGCACTAAATGCCACTGAACTGTTCGCTTTTAAATGGTCAGTTTTATGTTACGTGAATTTTAATCTTAATTAGAAAAAATAAATGGCCTTACCTCTGGGCCTCCATTTCCTCACAGTCCCTCCAATCATGTCCCGCTCTCATTCAGCTACTTCATGAAGAATAAAAGGTAACTGATAGTCATTGTTTTTATTAAACTTTTTCCCAAAATGAAATGGACATGGTAAAAGGATTTTTTTTTCACTGATATACACTCCTGGTTTCCAGTCTTATGGCCCCAAGAAGAAATATTTACTGTGCATCTATTAAGTGCCCCATACTACTGGTTTGGCAGCCACACTTTGAGAACCAAAGCCCAGACCTCTATCTGCTAAGTTTGTTCAAGATAATTTAGGCTTTCTATAACACACTCATCCAACTCTTTAGAACCTCTGCCCACTGCCTGGTTCCCAACCACTCCCACATTTTAGGGAGATATTATGATAGCACCCCTCTTTCAGGCACCAACATCTGTGTTAGTTATCTATGCTGCATGACAAACTGCCCCTAACTTTAGCACTTTAAAAACATTTATTATCTCACAGTTTCTGTGGGTCAGGAATTTGGACATAGCTTAGCTGGGTGCCTCTGGTACAGAGGGCTGCAATCAAGTTGTTGGCCAAGGATGCAATCATCTCAGGGTTCAACTACGTGAGGATCCATGCTAAGCTCACTTACGTGACCACTTGCCAGGCCTCAGGTTCTCACTGACAGCTGGTGAGACATGAGTTCCTCGACATGTGGGCCCCCCCATGGGCAACAGTAGTGGGCTGACTAGCATCCTCTCCCCTATTCCTGGTCACATGGAACCTCAGAATGCGGAAAGAAGGTCTCTGCAGATGCAATTATTTACATTAAGATGAGGTCATACTAGGTTAGGGTGACCCCTAAATCCAATGACTGGTGTCCTCGGAAGAGGAAAGAACACAGAGGCACACAGAGAAGGTCATGTGAAGATCAAGGCAGAGATAAGAGGGATACACCTATAGGCCAAGGAAGGCCAAAGGACTGCTGGGAGTCACCAGCAGCTGGCAGAGATAGAAAGGACCCTTCCTAGAGTCTTCAGAGGAAGCAGGGCCCTTCTGACACCTGGATTTCAGACTTTGGGCCTGCAGGACTGTAGAGAATAAATTTCTGTTTTTTTAAGTCACTTAGTTTATGGTAATTGGCTATGGCAGCCCCAGGAAACTAATAAAGCTGCTCACATTTGAGCTGGCTTTCCTCAGAGCAAATGGGCAAGAGAATGGGAGAGCAAGAGAGGGGTGCCCAGGAGGGAAGCCACAGCCTTTCTGTAATCTAATCTCATACATGACAGCCCATCGTTTGAAGTGAGTCCCTAGGTCAGCCCATGAGCACAGTGAGGGGATTACACAAGACCATGAATACCAAGAGGCAGGCATCTCCGAGGGTTATCTTAGGCTGTCTACCACATTCCTTGATTTCTTCAAGAAATATTTATTAAATACCTACTGTGGGCTGGGTATTGAGGATGGAACTAATAAGATAAGATTCTTTCCCTTTTTGAGAGTATTTAATCTAATGGAGGAGAGGACCCTAAAGAAAAAAAGTGGATATATAAATTAAAATTGTGATAAGTACAAGGAAGTGAATTATAAGGTAATACGAACGATTGATTTAGACTGAACCAAGGGTCAGACCTTGGTTGAGATGGTTGGATGGCATCACCGATACGATGGACATGAGTTTGAGCAAGCTCCGAGAGCTGGTGATGGACAGAAAAGCCTGGCATGCGACCATGGGGTCACAAAGAGTTAGACGCGACTGAGCGACTGAACTGAACTGAAGGGTCAGGCCTGGGGCTTCCCAGGTGGCTCAGTGGTAAAGAATCTGCCAGTCAGTGTAGCGGATGCGGGTTTAGTCCCTGGGTTGGGAAGATCCCCTGGAGAAGGGAATGGCAACCTATTCCGGTGTTCATGCCTGGGAAATCCCGTGGACAGAGGAGCCTGGTGGGCTACAGTCCAAGTAGTCGCCAAGAATTGGGCACAACTAAGTGACTGAGCACACACACACACACGAGTTAGGCCCAGTCTTTCTGATGAATTAATATTTAGAATGTGGTTAAAGAACATGTAGGAATTGGGCTCTGTGTGCTCAGTAAGGAGAGTAAGTTTCTAGATAGAGGGATAGCATGTGCAGATGACAGATGTTGGGTTTAGCTGCGAGACTCAGAATGCATAAGGCTCAGACCTCATCTCTGCATCTCTACTATGTAGCACAGTGCCTGGCACACAGAGGTACCTGATAAATTATTACTGAAAGAACCAAAGAATCCAAGGAACCTTCTATTTCCTAACTGTTATAGATAATGTTAATCCAAGTCATTTCAAAATTTTCTCCCACAGTTCACTGCAGAATCACTTTCTTATTTATGTTACAAAGAATAGGCAAAGCTGCTATAACAAAAAGCTGTAAATACATGAAAGCTCAACATAAGAGATTTTTTTTTTTCTTCTTCTCTCATATAACAATCCTGAGAGGATGCTGAGGTCAACAGGGCAGAGTTCTCTTCCACCCAGGTATCTTCCATCTTAAAGTCTTGCCTTCTCCAGAACCTGGTCATCATCTTTCTGCTGGCAGAGTAAGTGAGAACGTCTGTTGACAGATGCTCCAGGCCAGGCCTGGGTATGTGCACAACTCCTTCTGCTCACTTCCCATTGGGGGAGAGCATAGACACATGGCCGTACCAACTTTATGGGGGATGGGGAGTGTCCTATAGGTGTATGGCCAACAAAGAGGACGGCTATGTCTGCACCGCAAAATATATACCATTATGTGTCTAATTCTCTGGTACACTCCTCAAGAACCTCAAATTAACCAGATAAAAAATAACTCTAGATTTCTCACTCTCATCAAGTCTTTCATTCACGGAATGGCACGACCATCTACGCAAGTTGCATAAGGTGGTCTCCTAAAAGTTATTCTTTTTTAAAAGTATTTATTTTTATTGCTTTTATTTGGCTGCCCTGGGTCTTAGTTGCCACATGTGGGATCTAGTTCTCTGGCCAGGGGCTGAACTCAGGCCCACTGTATTGGGAGTTCAGAGTCTTAGCTACTAGATCACTAGGGAGTCCTGAAAATTATTCTTGATTTGTTTCTTATTCTCATTTTTCACATGGAGTTCTTCAGGAAGTCCTTTCAACTGCACCTCCACAACAACATAAACCAATCTACTTTATCTTTATGGCCACTGTCTTAGTTCAAGCATCATAATAATCTGGGCTATTCCAACAGCCTCTTAATAACTGTCCATGTCTCCACTTTCACTTGCCCATATTTAATTTTCCATACAGTAGAGTCTTATCCTTAAAAACATAAATTTGATCAGATCCCTCTGTAGTTTAAAACCTTCCAGTGGCTTAGAATAAAATCCAAAGTTCTCACCATGACCGCTAAAGGTGTATATCAGCAGTCCCTAACCTTCTGGGCACCAGGAACCACTTTCTAGGAAGACAATATCTCTACAGACCAGGGTAGGGGAGAGGGGATGGTTTCGGGATGATTCAAACACATTACATTTACTGTGAGCTTTGTTTCTATTATTTTATCAGCTCCACCTCAGATCAGGCACCAGATTCCAGAGGTTGGGGACCGCTGGTGTAGATGATACAACCCTTTTCACCTTTCCAACCTCATCCTTTACCACCTTCTCCTACTCTCCCTGCTCCAGCTACAATGATCATGCTGTTTCTTGACCACATTTACCTAGCTTATACTTTAAGACTTTTACAACTGCTGTTCCATCTGCCCAGAAAGCGACCTGGATCTCCAGTAGACAGTTCCTTCTCATTTATCAGAGGTCTCAGCATCAGGGTTGCCACCTGGGAGACCTCTCCTGATCCTCTACTTGAAAAGTCCACACACCCAGTTAATTTTCTTACCTCAGCATTCTGTTTACTTTCTTAGGATCCGAAAACCATGCTTCTCTCTTTTTTTTTTTCGTGCTTCTCTTTCTTTACTTTCTGCTTCTCTCTCCAAAAAAAAAAAAAAAGGATCCATGAGCAGGTACTGTGTCTTTTTTCTACTTTTTCCCCAGGGTCGAGTAGGCCTGGCACACATTGGTGCTTAGTAAATAAGTGAAGAATGAAGAACCATCAAGAGGTGATTAGCCAAATGCTCCTGCAAGGTTCTTTGATAGGCTGTTGGTATAGCCTGGCTTCTCCACCCCACTTCCCCACCCTTTACTCAGGAGAAATTTGGCAGAAGAGCAGCCGCATCTGGGGAGGCCCCCTCTCCCCCACGGAGCTATGGGAGCCTGAACTTGCTGGCTACTCCACTTTCCGAAAGGGAGATACCCAGGTAAATCCCGACACAAGGACGAAGAGCTGAGCGAACGAGCCTTGGGGTCAGAGATCTGGTGGGCCCCTGCGACAGAGCTGGTTCCAGGCCCCCCAGGCCGACCCCCTGAGCTGTAGGCTGCTCCTCGCTGCCAGGGCCTGGGGGCTGCAGGGAGGGAGGGCCTGCACCCCAGTTCAGCATTTGGTCCGCAGATGGGATGCTGAGAGGCAAAGACTTTAGCATCCGGCTTTCATTGATTACTTGTTTTCTCGAGTCAGGCATTAAAAAAAAAAAAAAGCAAGAAAGAAAAAAAAAAGGTCATCTGTGTTGGTAAGAGTAAGGAGCACAAACCTGCGTTCCAGTTACGACTTGACCACTTCTCAGCTGTCCGCAGCTGTGCGCAAATGAGTTTCGCTCTCTGACAGCCTCAGTTTCCTCACCTGTTAACAGGGACAAGAACACACTTAGCTCAAAGGGTCAAATGCTTACTTTATAAAGAGGAGAGAAACTAATGGAAGAAAAGAGCCTCACGTAAAGTGAACGCACCGTATATACATAACTGTTATCGCTATTATTATAAATATAACTCTTGTTACCGCCTGACCCGCCCGGAGCCTCAGTTTCCGCGCCTCCATCACTAGTTGTTTATCTCCCAATCCTTCCGTAGGGTAGTTCCCGAGCCAGAAGCTCTGTCCGCGGCGCTGGGACAAACTAGTTTGCAGTGCCACCGCAGGCACTAGAGTCAGCCGGTGAGGGCCCGTAGCCCCGCCCCGACGGCCCCTGACCCCTTACGTCATCAGCTCGGCGCCAGCGCTGCGGAGGGCCCCGGGGCCTGTCCTGGGTGTGGCGCCACCTTGGGGAGGCCTTGGCGGACGCCTGCAAGTCAACTACTTGGTTGGGGGGCGGCTCGGAAACCCCAGCGGACCGCGGCGAGGGGCGCGTGGAGCCGTGGGGACACGAAGTCGGGCGACAGGAGGGGCGGCCCGGAGCTCAGGCGGGGCACAGCGCCGGCAGGCGGGCGGCCGGCCGGGCTGCCCGGCGCGGGTGTCCCGGCGATGTGTGGCGCTGAAGCGGCGGCGGGTGCAGCAGCAGCGGCGGCGGGCTCGGCCTCGGCTTCGCGGCGGTGCCGGCGGCGGAGGCGGAGGCGCAGGCTCCTCCTCAGGACCTGGCGAACCCGGGCCTAAGCAGCGGCCCCGCCAGGCCCCGACACAGCGCCCCTGATCGGGGCCTTCCCCGCCTCGCCCTGCCCCGGGAGCCTGCCTCCCCGGCCGGGGATGAGGCCGGGAGGCGGCCGCGCGGGGCCCAGCACAAAGACTTGTTCCCGGGGGCCGCTGCTGCCGCCGCCGCCAGCCTAGAGCCGCCTGCCGAAGCCGAGCCGGCGCCGGGGCCCTCGTCCCCGCAGGTCCCAGGGGGCGGCTGCTGGCCATCTCCCCGAGACCCAGGGCCCCGAGCGCTGAGCCCCTTGTTCCCCCGGCTGCGGTGGGATCGGGCAGCTGCTCAACCTCCGCTGCTCCCGGCCTTGCGGGCCCTGCGGAGCATGTCGGAGGAGAGCGATATGGAGAAAGCCATCAAGGTAAGTTGGGGGAGAAAGCCTCCCCGCTTTGTCTCTTTGGCATTCCTCTCGGCTGCAGCCTCAGAAAGCGGAGAGAACTTAGAGATTCCAGTAACTCCTGGTTTCAGTTTTCCCTGGGTTCCGTGGACTGCGTTTTACAGCGCTGGGGGCAGAGGGTTTGTGGAAGGGGCGGGGGAGGGACGTCCAACTTACCTGCTTAAAGCGGGGATGTGATTTGTATTTCCCTAGAATGGAGGATGAGTGGCGTGGAGAGATACTTGATGCGAGTAGCACGTAGGGGGCCCTGCTACTCTATTAGATCAGTCCTCAGTACCATCAGAATTTATTTTCAGGTAATCTGCTGCAACAGCACTTGGAGAGTTGGATCTTACCCCTCGCTCCAGATTTGTTTGAAATCTGGTTTCTGCAGGAGGTGCTTCACCTTACACAACCAGCCCTTTGGCAGATAGGTTGTTTTCACTTTTCCGTGTGGTCCCTCCCCCTTTCCTGTTTCCTTTTCCTTCTCCTCCTGGGGAGTGTTGAGTTTACTTAGGAGGAGCTAATGGTGTCCTGTACTGCTCTGTTAACCGGAAAAAAAAAAAAAGCAACTATGTGTGTTCCAAAGTGGCTCAAATAAAATGACACATTTTGAAAAAAAAAAAAACCAAAACCCTGCTTTTTACTTTTTTTAAAACAGGCAAACATTGAGGCATTAAGTCACTAGGAGTCAGAAAGTTACCATTCAGCTGTACTGAGGAATTAAGTTTCTTATGTTAATTGAATACTGGAGCTTAAAGTTTGATATGTATTACTTACTTATTTTACAGTATTAAGTCAAATCTGTGCATTTAGGAATTTCATTTTCCCTTGAGGGGTTATTTTCCCCATCAAGACACAATCACTACTACCAATAATTAAGAACTTCCACTTCTAACAATTTTGGGGGTTACAAAGTTTATAGAAGTCATCATTCATTTCAAAGAAAACTCACCTTTTAAAGGAGGCATCAAGACAGAACATTTACATTGAGAAAGATCAGATTTTAAATGACAGCATTAAAGGATCCAAAAGACTGCTTAGATAGATACATTTTTTTTTCTTTTGGTTTGGATTTCATTGGTACAGCATCATGAATTGCCTAAAGTTATATGATTGGGTTGTGAATCAAGATACATTTGGCAGGTTTTTAAATTCAACTAGCATTATTTGCTTTGTGCAAGGTGTTGTCTTGGGCACTTGTGATGCAACGCCAAGGGCCCTAGATGTCCCTCTTTCATAAATCTTCTGTCTAGATGGTGGAGTTAGTTAATAAACATTGTCAGATGATTATAATTAAAAGACAGTTCGATCCCTGGGTTGGGAAGATCTGGAGGAGGAAATGGCAAGCCACTGCGGTATTCTTGCCTGGGAAATCCCATGGACAGAGGAGCCTAGTGGGCTACAGTTGATGGAGTTGTGAAAGAGTTGGACACAACTTAGTGACTGAGCACACATAAAAAGGTGGAGAGTGCTATTTTAGGAAGGGTAGGCAGGGAAGGCCTTCCTGAGGAGGTGACGTTTGTTTCCAGCTTTGAAGGGAATGAGGGAGCAAACCTCCATTGTCTTGGGGAAAAATATAGGCAGTGGGAACAGAAGACACAAAGGCCCTGAGGTAGGTGCAGGTCTCCTGTGACCCAGGAACAACAGGGTGACTGGAATGCAGTGGGTCAGTATAGATTATGTTGGAGCCAGGTAACCGGAAGCCAAAGTACATCAGGCCTTTAGGCCATTGCAAGAACTTTGGCTTGACCCTGAGTAGAAGGGGAAATCTGAGAGAGTTTTGGGCAGAAGAGGTACATAGTTCTAGTGGGCAAATATATAAATGGGGAAGCAGTGTTATTTAGTGGTTATAGTAGTTTCTCCAGGTTGATTCATGAGTTGAAATCTCAGCCTGGCTGAGATTCATTTAGCTGTGTCCTTGAATAAGTCACTTTACTTCTCTGTCACTTAGTTTTCTCACCCATAGGAAGAGGATAAAAAATCTCCCCAGCTCAGGTTTTTTTTTTTTTTTTTGGAGAATTTAATAAAAATGTGCTTATAATACCTAACAGAACCCAATGGATATTAGCTCATAGCAACTTAAGAATGGTTCAGAAAGAACTGTATGTAGTTTTCCTCAGTTGGTCACTATTGTCCAACCTGATTTTCTTACTTTTTTTTAGCTTTTCTTCTTGTACTTATTAGTAGATCACTGGTAATCTTCCAATTGAATGTGTTCAACCAATACAGATTAGTGAAGTTGAAAATATCTAACAACCAGTACTGAATAGGATATACTCCTTGGAAGCAAGCCAGCATCACATCAATTAAAACTTTTGGTCTGTGTTGTTGTCTTATATTCATTGTTTCGCTTTTTTAAGGCTGTCCCTCATTTGATGAGAACTGAGACCTCTAGAGTTCAGCTGGAAAAGCTATTTTCCTGGGTTTTCACTACAACATTTAAACTTCTGCTGCCTCGTGACCTGAGCATGGGCTGACTGGACTTTAAGATCTCATCCTATTACTCTTAAATATATTAGGATAAGGCCAGCTGGCTACAACCATAGGCTCTGTCTTAGTTCTGTCTCTCCTGCCATAGCCCATGACTTCACTACTCCCAGGTCACTTAACTAAACCTGGGTAATGAGCGTTTGGGGATTATGGGACTAGAGATTGCCTTACATATTTGTTTTCTGTTGTATATGGCAGTTTTTAATATTTGATGACCTTAATAAAAATTCATTTCCATAGTTTTAAAAAACATTTAAAAAAATTTCAGTTTCACATATGATAAAGTTCACCCAAGATAAGTGTATAATTCAGTCATTTTTAGTAACTTAAGAGTTGTGCATCTGTCCTCACTATCCACCTTTAGAATTTTTCCATCCACTCCCCACTTCCCCTGAGAGTTCATTCTGTCTCACTGTGGTCAACCTATACACTGACTCCCTACCCTAGACAACTTTACTGATCTGCTTTCTGTCACTATTATTTTGTCTTCTCTAGAAATTCCAAATAATTGAAATTATATACATGTAGTCTTATGTATTTGACTTCTTTTATACTTTTGAGGTTCATTCATGTTAGTGTATGCATTAGTAGTACACTCCTTTTTATTCTTGAGGAATCTCTTTATGGGCACTTGGATTGTTTCCAGTTTTTAACCATTATAAATAAAATGATAAGTAAAACTTGTCCATACAAATTTTTGTGTAAACATAATTTTTCATTTCTTCTGGGGAAATACCTAGGTGTGGAATTACTGGATAGTACAGTAACTTTTTAAGAAGCTGTAAAAATTTTCCAAAATGGAATTGTTCTAGGATCATTTGTTCAAAACATTATCTTTTCCTTGTTGAACCACCTTTGTTGGTAAATCAGTTGATCATAAGTGTATGAGTTTATTTTTTGGCTTCTCTTTTTTCCATTCTTTTTTTTTTTTTTTTAATTCCCTTTTCTGTTTCATTGATCCATATGACTATCTGTGCCAGTGCCCCACTAATGGGGTTACTGAAGCTTTATAGTAAGTTTTCAAATTGAGTAGCCTGAGAACCATCTTGGTTTTCCTATTTCAAAATTAAGTTGGCTATTCAAGTTCTTTGTATTTCTAAATAAATTTTAGAATCAGCTTGTCAGTTTCTACCTAAAAAAATGTGTGTTGGGATTTTGACAGGGATTCCGTGAATCCCACATGCAGCAACGAAGATCAAAGATTCCGTGTGCTGCAGCTAAGATCCGCTACAGCTAAATAAGTGTTAAAGAAAAAAACTGGCAGCAGAAAGGTGTGGAGATGAAGACTCTTCTCAGCTTGTCTTACACATTTACATATTCACTGGATAGAAGCTCTGTTTTCATCTCTGAACTTAGCCTGGTGTCTGGCACTTCCTAATTGCTCAGTGAGTTTGTGTTACATGGACAGATGTCCTGTTGCTATACCTGGGAGTCAGGATTCTGTTGCTAACTGTAGTCTATCAGATTTTCATTGCAACAAAACAATTTGAAAGTCTCATGAGTTTTGGCTTAACTTCTCAAGGTCTACAGTTGGTTTCCAGTACTGCCCATGGAACCCTGAAAAATAACTTTTACTCTACCACAGTTTATTTTTTTTATTTTTTTCTTTTTTTTGTTTTTTTTTGTTTCTACCACAGTTTAAATGTATGATTTCCTTGCTTTAAAACATAGCAACAGAAGCTCAGTATATAGTGTGTGCGTGCATGCTCAATTGCTTCAGGCGTGTCTGATTCTGTGACCCTATAGACTATAGCCTGCCATGCTTCTCTGTCCATGGGATTCTCTAGGCAAGAATACTGGGGTGGGTTGCAGTGACTTCCTCCAGGGAGTCTTCCCAACCCAGGGATTGAAGTCGCATCTGCCTGCGTCTCCTGCATTGCAGGCAGATTCTTTACCCACTGAGCCATCTGGGAAACACCAGTATATAGTGACTACACAGTAATCCCATAAAACTTTAAGCTGTAGAGGCTCTATATGGAACTATGGAAAGCTATTGGAATCTATTTTTTAAAAAACTATAAAGAAAAAAAAACTATAAAGAATATAGTTACACAATGAATGTATGTCTTTGTGTTCAAAATAACACTTGAAAACCAGATAAATGTACTATGATATTTACTGTTATTTTATTTGAATTTAATAAGTTTCAGTTTATTCAGTTATTCCAATTTGATCATTTTGTTCAAATATATAGGCCTCTGTGGCATAGCAGCATTTGTAAGACCAGTCTTTCTAGAATCTCAGAAAATCCACTTGACCATTTGAGGAAATAAGTCCTTAGTAGTGAAACATTTTGAAAAGGTATCTTCCACACTCAAGAAGAAAAAACTACAGCCAAAACACCCCAAAACCAGAAACAAGGATTGACTCACATGGATCTTGCAGATGAGCTCAAGAATTTCTTTTCATCCTCAAGTTTTTTGCCTACTCTTGTTGGAAAACAATGCCTAGCCTAGTCATTTAGGTGAAATGTCTAATTACATAGCCCTTTACAAAGCTCTACTTATCAGCTTCTTTCAGAAGGTATCAATAAGATATTGAGCTGTTAAGGTCTTCTGTTGTCCCACTTCTGCTTAACTATTCAACTTTTTAATTGGAGAATCATTCTCTGCCTCCTCCCTTTTTATTTTAATAGGAAAGCTCCATTTTAGAAGAATACAATATCAATTGGACTCAGAAGCTGGGAGCTGGAATTAGTGGTCCAGTTAGGTAAGAGACCCATGACAAAACTGTTCTAAAAAGGGCCATTCATAATACATATTAAGTTAGAAGCATTAGGTATTCCAGATTTGTGAAATAGCCTTAATTTAACAAGTAGGGTATTTATGATAGGCCTTTCTCATCCACATAGACATACATGTAGGTGACGTGGCCTGGGGCAGGATCATTTGCGATGCTGATAGCGGGAGCCACTGTGTGAGTCACTGGTTGCCAGCAGAGGCGTGCTTTCTCCTTGACCAGCCTCGGGTTGAGTTCCCGTGTCTGAGGCCGTGGCGGCAGGCGAGGCGCCTCTTTCTGCCTTTCCATCTGCTCGCCCTAGGGCAGGCTTGTTCTGATGTGCCTGGATATAGTTTTGATTAGAAGTACAGTTCTCAAAGAACAGCTTGTTAGATTAGTTTTTACGGTAACATAGATGATTTCTGATTGAATTTTTTTCTTCCAAATCTAGAGTCTGTGTGAAGAAATCAACCCAAGAACGGTTTGCACTGAAAATTCTTTTTGATCGTCCAAAAGCTAGAAATGAGGTATGAGCCTTTATTGCCTTGACTTGCCTAGATATTTGAAGTGCCTAAGAATATATTCTTTTTACAAGTAAGGCACCTTCCTAGAGAGAGTACAGAGATGCACAAAGAATTTTATGTTCATACTTGCTCTTCTTATGTTCATACTTACTTTTCCCTATTCATGTTGTTATTATAAAGCAGTCCTTCATCCATCAATACCAAAAGCTGTGAGTAGAGTCTTGCTTCCTTTCAAACCACTTCTTTCTTGTTCTTTTTCAATTAATGTGATTCTTGTACTCTGAAGTAGTCAGGTTTACTTTAGCTTTTACTTATTGGAAAAGGTCCTAAAAGGGTGGAGATAGAATAGTATGAGGAAGGTTCTAGTGAATGACATATTGAAAAGGTGCTGCAGAACTCCAAAGATACGTTTCTAGTTTTTCAATAATAGGCATTTGTTTAAAATTATTTGGATGTGGTGATGACTTGTTAATTATATGCAATGAAGGACTTACTCTTTTGCTTAGAGATATATGAATAATTTATGAAATAAGATGAATTTTTCATTTGGTAATAGGACAGTAGAAAATATATCTTTTTTATTTCATGGA